GTCCAGTTTGACCCCAAACCATCTGTGCCGGGCCCTGATCAAGGTTGTGTGAATCGAAAAGAAAACAAGAGCAGAAAATCATTGTATAGTGTTCTGTACACACGCCTCAGCCTGCTAGATAGTGCAGGGCACTGAACAACCATCATTTCGATAATTGTTTATTATTATCAGAGACCATAATTTATGAAGAAATAATCAGTCGAACATTCGGAACAAGAGACTTTTGAAATTTTGTGCAGCATTAGAATCCACTGCCTTCAATGAGTCCACTGCCTTCACTCTGCCCACTTCCTTCCAATTCTCCGCTTCCTTCGCCACTGAAGTTATTCTCATACTCTCCAAACAGTTTCAGCCTTTCTTCCTCATCCTGAAATGGTAATGTTAATAGGTTAATTTAGAAAATTGTTTTCCTTATTCATCGCTCAAACTGCCTTAAAAAATATTTTTCGCAATTAACAGAACAAATGAATTTCTCTTCTACTGATGGTCTCTAAACGGAAATCCTTTCCGAGAAAATTTGCTGTAGTCAAACTTCTATCTATTTTTGACAGTGACCGATATCAGACTTACAATAACGGTATCGGTGTAATAAGGAGAGAAGCAGTAGCCTTGGTTGACGTAATAGAATGGCTGGCAACAGAAGTTGAAGTTACATGGTTGCTTGTTACAGTATACCGCTTGTTGGACACCGTTGCAACTGAAAGATTTGATGCTTTTCGAAGACTTTAGAAGTCACAAAACCTACGTTCTTCTAGATACACCACATCCTCCGCAGGGGAATGAGCATGCACTCCAAGCCGTGCATCCATAAGGATATCCTTGAGTAGTGGCTAGAAGTTCACAGTCAGAAATAAATCACATACGATCGAGTAGTTCTTCTGCTCAATATAGTGCTCGCGGTGCCAAAAAATGTGGTAAAATTTTCGCGTAAAGAAACAGCTACATTCGTGAGGCAGGTCACTTGCGCGCGCAGAATGCCGGCATCGTGGCTGGCTGATTTTTCGCGCCCAACTTCTGCCGCATTTTATTGGCACCGCAAGTAACCTATATAATATTTGAATAAGCCTCTTTTTATGACCGG